GGGGGGTAAGAAACTACCCTTGAAAACTATGTTCTAAATCGGATGGAAGTACATATTATATACTCCCACAGCTCTATGTCAAAGAGATATCTCCATAAAGGTTGAAACATTGTTAGCCAATACAATGCTTTAAAGTAGTTTTGAGATGATTTCGCTACTTTCTTCAAAATGTTCATTTCCTGACTTTAAAAGCTAAAAACTCAAAAATCGTTCGAGTTCGAGATAAAGACATTCCATTTGGAGGGTAGGTGCACCATGCAATTCCAAAAAAACCCAACACTAGCTTTTTCTAATTTTTGATTAAAAAATATTTTTAATGATTTTTTTTTTTGCTTGTCTATTTTGACTATTTTTCTCATTCGCCTATATGCACATCTTCTAAAAGTTACACCATTAGTAATTTTTCAATTTCAAGAAAACCTAGTGCCATTTTCTTAAGGTTTGTAGGCAGATTACAAATAATATGTAGTTAGTTCATAGCTGAGATAGCATGGATGGTTTTTGAGTTTTTTAGCTTTTGAAAATTATCTTTCAGATAGCTCCATTTCACTCTAATTTGCCAGTTCCCTGATTAGGTAACTGGTAATGATTCTCATAACTGAATATTTTAAATCTTTGAATGGAATACTTTGAGAAAATGAGATAAAACAAGTAATTTTACAGCTCAATTGTAGATTGTGACGCTTAGAAGTAGACTAGAATCTAGTAGAGAATACACCATCAGTGACTGATGCTTTCTTTGAGTAAAAGTTCTGTATGGTATCAGCACACAGCCTCCCCAGTTGCCGAAAATGCTCTTTTCAATTTCAAATTAAACTTTTATTATTTCAACACTTAGTCTGTTTTGTTGCTGAAAATACATGTACATATTATTTCTTTTTAATGCAAACTTTTATGATTTCAACACTTACTCTGTTCTTTCGCTGAAAATATATATTATTTCTTATTATTATTTCTTTTTAATCCAAACTTTGATGATATCAACACTAACTCTGTTCTTTCGCTGAAAATATTATATATTATTTCTTTTTAATCCAAACTTTTATGATTTCAACACTTACTCTGTTCTTTCGCTGAAAATATATTTAATATCACTCCTTTCAAACTTTTATTATATCAACACATAGCCTCCTCTCTTGCAGAAAAAAAAATATTTTAAAAATCATTTTTTCTTCTTTTTATAACAGTTCTTTGATATCAGCACACAGCCTATTACTGAAAATGCATAATAATTCTTTCTTTTTTTTTTTTTTATTGTCAATGATATAAATATACAGCCTCTCCTGTCGCTGAAAATGCATAATCTATATTTCTGAAAAAATTAAAAGTTCTATATTAAAATACAGTCTCCTGTGTTGCTAAATGCAATGTGGGATTTTAAAAATATATAAAAGTTATGTGATATCAACAGTGATATCAACTGTTGCTAAATGCAATATGGGATTTTAAAAAATTAAAGGTATGTGATATCATCAACAGTGCAACCTCCTCTATTGCTGGACAAGCCTTTTATTATTTTTCTTTCTTTAAAAAAAAAAAAAAAAAAAAAAGTTCTATGATAACAACACACAGACCTAGCCTCCACTTTTGCTGAAAATTCTTATTCTTTTTGTTGTTGTTGTTTTGTTTTTCTTTCTTTTTCACGTTTGATTTTTTAAGGTCA